TATCTATCTATCTATCTATCTATCTATCTATCTATCTATCTATCTATCTATCTATCTAGTCATGTTTCTGTAATGTATATTAGAGGAGGAGACTCTTTGAAAGCTGTATGCAACAAAATTTCAGTTAGTGTACATTCAAAATGTTAATAAAGTTATTCTAAGTCTCTAATCTAAGTAAGTCTTCTAAAAGTGGTAAAAGGGGTGTCTCTGTTTGCAGACTGTGCATCCAGTTTATCATTTCCATTTTTACTGCCTTTGAAATCTGGCCAGCTGTTGGCTTTACGGGTTTTTTTCCTGGTATTCTATCAATACCTCACCTGACAAAGAATTTTAGAGAACCCAAAAGTGTGCACATTATTTTTAGTGCATGCTGCTATGTGATCAGTGATTAAATTTTCTCCCCAGTTCCTCCCTTTGTAGGCTGGGAGTTGAAATGCAAGCCAAGAGTCAAACTGGTTACCCTCCATTTTAGAAGGTGAGAGCATCCAATTTAAGCAACTTCCTTTTTATAAGCATTCGCCAAGAGGCTGACACATTTAAGGGATTTAATCCCCACCTGTACACACAAATTAGCTCCTGCCCTAAGAAGTTATCAAAATATTTGACTTATCCGAGCAGCCAAATCCTTTGTCCAATTAGTCAGACAGACCACCAATGAAAGGCTGGGCTGCTGCTGACAGTTTAGCTTAAGGGAGAGAGAAGGGAAGGGTCATTAATCAAATCTATTTCTTGGCCAAGCCCCTAGCAGAAAGATGCTCCTGGAAGACTTGATCATAATTACCTTGAAAACGCTTCATCCAGTTCATCATTCATTGCCTTTGTTATAAAAAGAAAGGGGAGGGGAGAAATAAAACTATAAATCCAACGGAAATGAAACAATTATTCAAATATCACATCGGTTTAACCAAGTGCTTTTTCTGTTGTATTTGCAATTCCTTCTTTTAGCCATAGGCTTAAAAAATTAGTAGATTTTTACTAGCTGGTTCTAAGGTCAGTAACCCATCCTTCTTTGTTAGATGACAAGAGGACAACACAACATCTAAGTGCTCATGGAGAAGGCATTTGACAAGGTAAATCTGAACCTCTCCAATCACCTTCTGTCCACTTGCTTCTTTTCCATAGAAATTGAAGGGGTAGAGAAGCCGTCCGGTTAGTTCCAGCTCTCCTATGCATGGTAGCACTTTTGGGTCCAAAAGCTACAAAGCAACTTTAGGGAAACTTGCCAAAGGTCTTCAGGAAACTGATGACCTCTCTTCTGCACTGGACCAATCCAGGTAAATTGCAATTCAGTGTGAGATAAAACTGTCTATTAATATAAGCCAGTGGTTCTCAAATTTGCAACTTTAAGATGTGTGGACTTCAACTTCCAGAATTGAAGTTGAAGTCCACACTCCTTAAAGTGGCCAATGTTGAAAAAATACTGATATAAGCAGTTGGACAGTGAAACCAATTGCCCAGAGAAGTGTTTGGCTGCCCTTTGATTGATAGGTTCAAATGGAATCAGGGTAGCCATTTGTTTTGGATCCATCCTTGTTATACTTTCATTGACCGGGGGTTGGTCTTGATGACTTGAAGAATAGAATAGAATTCTTTATTGGCCAAGTGTGATTGGACACACAAGGAATTTGTCTTGGTGCAAATGCTCTCAGAGCACATAAAAGAAAAGATACATTCGTCAAGAGTCAAGAATCATAAGGTGCAACACTTAATGATAGTCATAGGGTACAATAACCAATCAAATCATACTAGGAAACAGTCAATATAGATCATAAGGATACAAGCGACAAAGTTACAGTCATACAGTCACAAGTAGGAGGGGATGGGTGAATTCTAACTTGACTGATTCTAACAATACAAAAGAAAAGTGGCATGCTATTCTTCATTGAGGAACTTCAAATTTCTTGTAGGAGATGCTCTTAGCCCTGGATCATAGATCATAGATTAGATTGCCTACAAAATAAATTCCCTCTCCTGTGGGCTTTTGATCCCTGGAGTCCACTCATTAACAAATGTAGAGAAATTGAAAGCAGAAACCATGCAGAGACTATAGGAGAGATGGAAGAACCTCGATTGCTCCAAGAATCCCCAAATCACAGTTACGAGCTTCCCCTCTCCTTAGTCGTGGTGATTGGTGCTCATGCAGTCGTTGTCTGTTTGCCACAAGGAGAAAGCCACTGTCTGTGGAGATTCTCAATCATCCAGGTCATGGTTGTCCCAAAGGTGCTTTTCAAAACACAACTGGACTTTCCCAGGTTTTGTTTTTGTTTTTTACTTGAAAATGTTTTGCTTCTCATCCAAGAAGCTTTTTCAGTTCTGGCTGAAGAACTGAAGAAGCTTCTTGGGTGAGAAGCAAAACATTTTTTTTAAAAAGCCACCGGTTCCACTCCCCTGCGCTTAAGTCCCCTAGAGAGAGGATATGACACATCATGACAAGCATACTGTACTTCTGAATGTATTCGGTGTTTGATCCTGCCTTTTCCGGGCATGAAACAGCGTAGATATGCAAACAAGCAAGGAAAAGAAATGATGCAAGTTACACAAGGAAACCACTTGGACTTGACCATTAATGGAGAAATAAGGCAATACTGAAGAATCAGATGGGGAAAAAAAAGAGAAGAGACACTCTGTTAGGCAGCCTGCCAAACTCTGACTTACAATCCTTGACTTACAACCATTCAGTGAGTGACTGTCTAGCAGGTTCCAAGTCACGATGACACTTCAAAAAGTGGCTTTTAAGAGGTGCTGGCATTTACGACTGTCGCAGCATCCCCACAATCGCGTGATCAAAATCCAGGCGTTTGGCAATTGGTCTGTATTTACGACAGTTGCAGCATCCTGGGGTCACGTGATCACCATTTCTGATCTCCCCAGCCAGCTTCCAACAAGCGAAGTCGATGGGGGAAGCCAGGTTTGTTTTAATGACTCGATGATTCACATAACTGCAGTGACTTACTTTATAGGCAAAAAAGGTTGTAAAATCAGGCAAGACTCATTCATTGCCTTGCTTTGCGACAGAAATTCTGTTCCCAGTGATGCTCGTAAGTCAAGGACCATCAGAATGCTAGCCTAGGCCACTGTGGGTATGGGAAAGGATTGGTGGTTTCACAACTCTGCCACAGTGTGATGCCATAGCCTGATCTCTCCCCCTACACCTGACTTGCTCTATGACTGGGAGGAAAAAAATAACCCTGAAAAAGGAAGCCACTTTCTTTTCTTTGATCAGAAAAGGTTGGTTTAGAAGAGGCAGGAAACGTGCCTCAACTTGATGGAGCAGCCTGGGGGAACAATAAAGCATACTGCAGATCTACACACACACACACACACACACACACACACACACACACAC